AGAAACTTAGGGGTACTGAAAGCTAATCCAACACAGGCTTATAACTAAAGTCCCAGACAGGTTACATGGAAACACTGAGGCAAAGGCAGTTTTTGTTGAGATAAAGTTTGAGAATAATCATGTTTAAGAATTGATAACAGTATGAAACAACAGATTAGGAACTACAAATCCCAAGCAGAAGAAATTAAAATTTAAAAAACTACAGTTAAGCACATCAAAGAAGAACCTCAAAAAACCAAAGACAAAATCTTAAAAATAGCCAGGGAAAAACGATTATTTCCAAAGAAGGAACAATAGGATGGACAGCTACTTTTTGGAGGTTAACAACGGAAGTCAGAAGAGCCTGGAATGGCATTCTCAAAGTGCTGAAGGAAACTAAATACAAACCTAGGGTTCTATACTCGGCAAAAATAACCTTCAACGATTAACGTGAAATCACATTTTGAACAGAAAAAAAATTCATAGCCATCTGACCTGCATTAAAGTAAAGGATTAAAGAACATAACAGACCAAAGTTCGGACATGCAGAAATGAATACAAGTATAAAAGATAAATTTATGAGTAAATCTTGACTACATATAGTAATAATAGCAATGTCTTGTGATGTTAAAGATAAATTTAGAGTTAAATATAGGTGAAAATAGTATATAAGTTGAGAGTCAAAGTATCCCAAAAATATTAATTTAGATAAGGCTATGATAGATTAAAGATGGTTGTTGAAATTCTAATGGTAATCAGTAAAGAAACAGCAAAATAGTGATTACCAAGCTGCAGAAATATATATATATATATCATTAAAAATACAATAAAAGCAAGAAAAGTGAATTAGAATACTTGAGATAATTAGAATTCATATTGTACAATAATAGATTTAAGCATAAACATATCAATAATTATATTAAATGTAAATGGGCCAAACTGAACTGAAAGACAAAGATTGTCAAATGACATATCAAAACCCATGGGATGCAGATAAAGCTGCATTTAGAGGAAAATGTATAGCTAATAAATGTTATGTTAGAAAAGAAGGCTGAAATCAAGGCTCTAAGTATCTATATCAAAAAGCTACAAAAGCCACACAATACACCCTAAGAAAATATTAGATAGAAAAATAATAAAAATAGTAGAAATTAAGAAAATTGATATTCAACAAACAACATCTATAAAGTCAAAAGTTAGTTCTTTGAAAAGAATAACTGCTAAACTTCTGGAGAGAATGAGAAAAACAAAAGCAAAACAAAACAGCAATAAAGAGAAAGAGCAAACCAACCAATCTCTGGAATGAAAAAGAAGACATCACTAAAGGTCTGACAAACATCAATAACACCGGAAAAAGACACGATTGCAAAAACCACCATACCAAAAATTCAAAAATGTATAACAAAGGCATATATTCCTTTTGAAAAAATACAACTTAACTAAACTGATCGAGGGGGGAAATGTCCCTAAGCTATTTTAAAAATTGAATATGTAATCAAATACCTTTGCACCAAGAAAACTTTCGGATTAGATGGCTTTAACGGTAAGTTTCACAAGATACTTAAGGAAAAAATAATATCCATGTTAAATAAACTTTGCCGGAGAATACAAAGGAGAGAGGAATGATGCTTAACTCATTTTGAGGCCAGCACAGTAAAGATGCCAAAACTCGATGAGGACGTTCTGAGAAAGGAAACTGCTTGGCAGTCTCCCTCATGAACATAGTTGCAATCATATAAAATAAAATATTTGCAAATCCAAATTTTCACTACATAAAAGATAATGTATTACAACCAAGTTGAGTGGACTTATTTTTAAAATGCCAGTTAGAATTTATATTCAAATAAATCCATATACTTTACTTCATTAACCAAATAAAACAGAAAATCATATAATCATCTCAAAAGATGCTGAAACAGCACCTGATAAAAATCAATATCCATTCGTACTGAAACCCTGAGCAAACAAGGAATGGAAGGGAAACTTCCATAATCTAATAAATAGCACCTGTCAAAAACAAGTAGACAAATGAGCAAAAAATACAAAGCCCCTACAGAAAACATGGCACTGAAGAGAAAACTGGGAACCAGACAAGTGTGCCTGCCGTCATGGCCTCAATTCAATATTCTACTGACAATCTCAGCCCATTCTATAACATCAGTGAGTGAAAGACATAAAAGGTATTCCAATTAGAAAAGAGGCAATCTTGTCATTATTCATAGATGACATGATTCTAAATGTTGAAAATCCAAAACAATCTATTCATGATTAGGATATTTGAGTTCAACAAGGTTGCTGGACACAAAATCAACAGCTAAAAACTGACTGCTTTTCAAAATTACAAACACCAAGCCATTCACAATAGCAACCAAAACCATCAAATGGCTTGAAATATATTTAATCAAATATATGCAAGCCTCCTAAACATAAAACTATTAAGAAATTATTTTTAAAAATTGAAGAAGCTAAATAATCAATGTTGCAAAAATATCACATCTTCCCAATTTGAACCAAGTCAATGCAATCACAAAAGCCCATTTGTATCAATTCTGGGTGGAATCAGCTCCTAGGAGATAATTAAAAAGGACATACCCAAGATTTTGAAGAGGCACAAAATCATGGAAAGGAAAAGGCTGAAACTGTGCAAGAGAGAATTTCTGTGCCTGAAAGATGCCATTAAGAGGTGAACAGGCAAAGTGCAGAGTGGAAGATGAGATTTACAGCATGTGCAGCTGGCCAAGGGCTTGATTCCACAGCATAAAAAGAACAACTCCAAATCAAGAAAAAGGGAGAGACACCTCCTCAGAAAAATGGGCAAGAAATCCGAACAAGCACTTCACAAAAAGGGGAATACTTATTTGGCCAAAAAACTTATGAAAATAAGCTGCATCTTATTGGCAATCAAAGAAATGCAGCTGAGGGCATGAGGAGGAGCTGAAATTAAAGTGACTGACAGCAGCAAGTGTTGGTAAAGACACAGAGCCACAGGAACCCCTGCACGTGGCTGGTAGGTGTGCAAAGTGGTGCACTACTTTGAAAACTTTTGGATATCACATATGAATGGTGACAACATGCATGGCCTACACGTCGGCAACTCCCCTTCACATTTGCCCACCGGTACCAAGAAACATGTACAGAATGCACACAGCCGCACTGCTTTTAATAGCTCTGGTTACGAAATGAGCCAGGTCATGTTTATATCCGCAGTGTGTGGTGCCAGACTGGGTGCAGAGTAGGTATGCGATTCGTGTCTGCTGAATGAGAGGCCACAGGCAAGTAAGAGTTGGGTAGACGAGCCTTTTACTGCTCTCCGGATCTCCAGAAAGAAGCATAAAATCTGGCTTAAGAGAAGAATTTAACTTAAGAAGAAATGACTACATCGGTGCATTTATAAATGGGACACATGCAGCAATACATAATAGATAATGAATGAACTCTTGCTAAATGCAAAGTGGGGGCGAATTTCGCAAGCATAATGTCCAGAGAAAGAAGCAAAACACAAAAATCCTACCTATTAAGGGTTCCATTTATATACATGTCTAAAGCAGGCAAAATTAATCTTCCCTGTTACACGTCAGGAGAGGAGTTATCTTTGGGGGAGGGGAGTGCATGAAGACTTCTCTTCCTACTCATGAGCCAGCCCTACAAGAGTAAATTGCTCTGCTCTCCTCACCTGGAGTCCTATTACCTGAGGCAAATGACCACTTTGACTCATTTTCAGCATTACCAGGGAACAAACAAGTTCAGTGTGCCCAGAAGTCTTGGGCAGAAACTCGCAGCACCTGTGAAAGTGCCCTCGCTCTGGCGATTAGATCCTGACAGTATCACTTAAAACAAGTGACCACAGAAAGGACACAAACACTCACTGAGTCCAGGGTTCTTTTAAGTGAAGATCTGAGAAGATGCTCAGAGCAGACTCAGCCCCATGCAGGGACACGCCAGGGCTCAGACACACTGGTGACATGGGGTGCCCTCCTCGTGCAGAGGTGCCCACGGGCTCTTGGCCCAGCAGTCTGCAGTCACAGGCGCGACACTGTGACCTTTCCCTCAGTAGATGCATCCCTCTAATTTTTCCAAAGGGAGAAACACCAACTAGAATGTTCTCCTGGCTAGTACCAACCACGGGCTTTTCTTAGAAGAAAACAGGCCACGCTGGTCTCCAGACGCACAAACACAGCCACCACAGAAGGCAGAACTGAGCGTGGAAGGAGCACATGGAAAAGCATGCTGCTGGCCCTCACTGGGCAGTGTGTCACTCTACAACCTAACACCTGCTTTCAAGGCACTTACAAAGTGCTCCCGAAAGAAAAGTACTTTGAAAAACGCAGGGCAGAACTCACAGATAAAATTCACTGTGCATCTGGAATGCTTTATGGCTTTTAATATTTTTAAGTCTATTAGGAATCCTGCCAAATAGTCTTTAAAATCTTTAAATCAAACCAAAAGTCAGGCTGAATGCCCCTTACTTTGATGTCGATATTGAATCCTGTAGCCCTAAACAAAGATAAATCCATGGACTCTGGTCCACTGCGGAAGCTAACCATGGGTGGCCCGACACACTGTCACACTCACTGTCCCTACCAGGGGTGGGGGTTCCATTCCTAACCTACTTCTTAGAAACCCAGCACAGGCGAAGTGGCAAGAGTCACCAAGGTGAGGCTCAGCCGCCCCTGATCCACTCCCTGGGGTGCTGCCCCAGTGCCTTCTTGCACTCCCTCCCTCTGCCCTCCACCTTCCAGAGCCCATGCCTGCACTCCCTCCCTCTGCCCAGCCTTCCTGCACCTGCACTCCCTCTGCCCGGCCTTCTGTGCCCGTACTCCCTTCCCCTTGCCCTGCCTTCCGTGCCCGCACTCCCTCCCTCTGCCTGGTCTTCTGTGCCTGAACTCCCTCCCTCTGCCCGGCCTTCTATACCCACACTCCCTCCCTCTGCCCAGCCTTCCTGCACCTGCACTCCCTCCCTCTGCCTGGCCTTCCGTGCCTGCACTCCCTCCCTCTGCCCGGCCTTCTGTGCCCACACTCACTCTCTTTGCCCTTCTCCTTGTTCTTGAGCTGCTGCAGCTTCTGCTCCCGGTGCTGCTTCTCCAGCTCCTGCTCCTGGCGGTGCCTCTCCAGCTTCCGCTGGTGCTCCAGCAGCTCCTGCTGGTGCTTCATGGCCAGCATCTCCTGCTGTTGCTGCAAGTGGGAGGAGGAGACAGAGGGTCAGAGCCCAGGCTGACTCAGAGACCCAGTGGAGACCCACGGAACCAGCCCAGGCCCCAGCACGTCTGCTCCGGTGTTGCCCCAGGCACTGCTCTCCCCTGCATGGCTGCAATTTGAGTCCAAAACACAAGTCAGGGCCATTCCAAGCTCTGGGCACATCTCACCTTTTAAGCGGAAAACATTAAAAACAAAAGCTGTTGGCTAGCTAGAAGAAAATATGCAAGAGGAGTACGTTGCAAGTTGGAAATGCTATTTTGAGAACCATACAAAGCCAGTGAAGAGAGTGTGAAACGGTACAACCACTTTAGAAAACTGCTTGGCGCCTTCCTATAAAGTTAAACACACACCTGCCCTGAGAGAGGAGGCACACGCACAGAAAGCCTGTACAAGCATGTGCATGGCAGCTCTGGTCACACCCTGGACGCAACCCACATGCTCCTTCGAAGGTGGAGAGTTGACAAATGACATGTGTTCATAGGGGAGAATCCACCTAACCATAAAAAAGAATAACCCATACACACAAGAGAACACGCTAAGCTGCTGAACAGCAGATATCGGCACAAGGGTGAACGAGCAGAGACAAGGTGAGACTGAAAGACCCCCCGCTGGGGCTCTGCACCCGCACATTCCACCAAGCCACACATTCCACCAAGCCGGCATGGCATGCGGACGGCAGCTCTCAGTGCCTGCGGGCTGATTCTCAGCTGGCTGAATCAATGGAGGTGAAACCCCAAAATATGGAGGGCTGACTATATTCATGTAGAGTTCTAAAACAGAAAAGGCTAACACACAAGGACAGAAATCAGAAGGCTGCCTCTGTGGGGTGGGGCGGGGGGATGGAGGGAGAAGAAAACGTCCCAGTGGGTGGAATGTCCGACCTGTTGCGTGTCTACGGGGCAGGGCACACCCGTTCAACAGTGCCCTTAAGAGCCGGCATTGTACTGAGAATAAATTACACTTCATATTTCAAAAACTGACATATACACAAAAATGTCTGTCTTAATAACAATTAAAAGGCAGAAGGTAAAAGAGAAACTGCAGTATGTATGACATACAGATAAATTTTATATAAAAGCTTGTTAAAAATTAATGAGAATATGATAGGCAGCCCACTAAAAAGCTGGGCAACAAAGAACAAGGGATGCACAGAATGGTTTAAAAATGAGTAGGGAGCGGCGTTCAGCCTCACCAGTGACAGTTCCCATTTTCACACACGGTATTGGAAGAGGTGGATGAGAACGATGTGGACTGCCGCTGACAGTGTGGGAAGGTGCAAGAGACCATACACCCTAGAGGGACTCCCGCAAACCCAGAGCACCTCTGTCCTGGGGCCTGGTCCAGACTCCAGGGCTCCCGCACATCCTCCCACTTCTCCAAGATGGCTCTGCTCTTATTCTCACCCTCTGGACTTCTGTCTGCAGTTTCCTCACCTTCAGAGAAGCCCCTGGGCCAGCCCGGGGGAAGGGCCAGGCCGCCACAGGTGTGAGGAACTCTGCCACCTGCCTGCCAGGGGGAGCCTCTCTGCCACCCTCCGTGGCCCTCACGTGTCCCCATCATGGTCTGTCTGCTGCCCCCAGTGCTTATCTCTGTGCCACTGTCTTTTTTCTTTTGGACACAGGGCCTGGCTCTGTGGCCCAGACTGGAGTGCAGCAGTGCGATCGTGGTTGATTGCAGCCTTGACCTCACGGTTCAAGTCGTCCACCTCATGCTCCCGAACAGATGGCGGTTAATTAAAACAACTGTAGAGAAGGGGTCTCGCTATGCTGCTCAGGCTGGTCTCAAACTCCTGGGCTCAAGCCTTTCTCCCCCGCTTGGCCTCCTGAGTCGCTGGGACTCCAGGCGCACACCACCACACCCAGGTGCAATTTTTCTTTTTTGAAGAAATGAGGTCTTGCTCTGTTGCTGCAGTTGGTCTCAAACCGGGCTCCAGTGGTCCTCCTGCCTTGGCTTCCTGAAGCTCTGGGGTCATGGGCGTGGACTGCCCCACCCAGCCACTGTTGGGGTGCTCTTGCTTAGTCTTGTTTGCTTATGGAGGAAGAGGGGGCGGTGGCAGGATAGGGGGTGAGCAGACATTCTGGCACTCAGAGAGGCCCACAGAACTTTCTGTGGAGGAAACTTAGTGAACCAGGGGCTCCAGGCCGGCTCCAGAATGGGGCTTCCACCCGCTGGTGGCTCTGCCTGGAGGATGGGGCTCAGGCCAGGTAAAGGATGAGCCAGGCACAGAACGGGGTGTGTGTGCAGCCACCAGATGCCCGCCCCATGAGTGACCATGCCGGCACAGGACTGACGCCCACGGACGCCACCTGCCGGCGCACCTGCACCTACATATTTAACCTCTCCATGCTGGGTTAGGTGTGGGACCTGCCCCAAGGGTTCCTGTGAGGACCGGAAGAGGTGGCGTGGGGAGAACGCTCGGAAGAGTTGGCCTGGGCTCGCGTCTGTGTGGCCTGATCGTCATCACACCGTGACTTTCGAAAGATGTTGCCTAGAGAGTCTGGCTTCCTGCAGATGCTAAATGTTATCCTCAGGTAAACTCAGCCTCCCTCAAGACTCTCGGGAGTTACCCCCGGGCGCACCATCCCAGCGCAGTGCTCCTCACTGCCGACGGTGACCGGCCAGGGCCCCAGGCCTCCACCCCTCCTCACTGCCGACGGTGACCGGCCAGGGCCCCAGGCCTCCACCCC